TGGCCTTTACCAAAGAATAAACTATATTTTTATAAAAAACTAACTAAAATGAAATAATAAAGACTTAATGAAACTTGTCAATATGTGGTGCGTTTATAATTTTGACACGCGGTGTAATGTTACGTTAGGGGCTTCAAAAAATAGTTAACTTAAAAAATTATTCATTTTTAATTGGAAAATTGAGTAAGGCACTGTTTGTTTTAGTTAAGAAAATAAAGTATATCCTTACAATTAGTTTTGAATTTTTTGTTTTTGAATCCATTAAAGTGCCTTTAAAGTTTCAAAGAACTAATAACTTAAAAAAAAAAGCGCTAACAAATACATCAATTCTCTGAGGTGTAGTCGTTTCTGTATCAGCGGAAAAGTAAAAATATCAGAAATATAAGAAAAATACTTTTTACTGTCTTAAAAAATATATCTAATTTTTGCTTTGAAAAGGATTTAATTTTCAAAAGTACAAATAACATATGTATATCTTATTTCAAGACAGAAAAAAAGTATTTTTTATATTTCTGATATTTTTACTTTTCCGCTGATACAGAAACGACTACACCTCAGAGAATTGATGTATTTTTAGCGTTTTTTTGTTTAAGTTGTTAGTCCTTTAATATGTCAAAGGCCTTTTAAAGGATAAAAGAACAGAAAATTAAAAACTAAGTGTAAGACTATACTACACTTTAAGAGTACAACTTTACAACAAGCTTTTCAGGCGTTCAGCGCTTTTTAGACTTTCAGAAATAGCTGAATTGTGTAGGTGAAGGCCTGAAAACCGGCAAACGCCGGAAAAGCTTGTTGTGGAGTTGTACTCTATCCCTATCTTGTACTTATTGTATTCTATTTTTCTTCGATATATATTTCTTCTGCTTCATGCGATGATGGCTCTTCTCTACAGCCTTTCGCACACCTCTTTCAAACTCGAAGGCACCATGTAGTTGAAAAACGCCTAAATAAAAAATAAAATTGATTAAAAAATGACTTCGGCTTATTTTTGTTTGCAATTTATTTACCTCTCAATACTTTTTCTATAACATCCAGTTTCGCTAACGCTTGCCTTTCTCCCCTTCCATCCCAATTGAAGGACTCCAGGAGAGTATCTGTAAACAAATTCCGAAGGACTCCATCGACCTCCTCAGATGTGCCCTTCAGCTTATGACAATATGTTGTCTGCAGAAAATAACCATACAGAAAGAATATATTAACATAAGAAGGTAGAAAGATTATGCTCATTTTTTACCATTGCTTGCGCGAAGTGAGGTTCCTTTAGTTTTTCCTCAACCTCCAATACCGATTCAAGGGTGTTGATTGGGAGCATTCTGGCCACTTCGTCAAGGGCGTCGTCTCTTAACTCCCCAGTCATTAGGCAGACTGATCGCTCTACTTTTTTTATCGCGACCTTGCATTCGCGGAGCAAAGTGTTTTGGGCAAGGGTTTCAGATTTATCAACGTACTGTTCAAAAAAAATAAGGTACATGTTTATATATAAGTTTTAAATTTTTATAATTATTTCTTACATCGTGACTGAGTTTTTCAACCTGCTCACTTATGACACCTTGGTTGTGGATCAGCGTTCCCTGCACTTCCCCCAAAAATTCCAACTTTGAGTGTATAACAGTTTGCTAAAAGAAATATTTAAAATAGATACATCTATTAACACATACATATTTATTTTTTGCAGTATATATATATACATATGTATATATATATATATGTATATGTTTATATGTATATATAAATATAGTACATTCTATAACATAAAACATATAGTCGAAGTTTAAAACTTTGTGGACAATTCAGGAAGATTTAACATATTTATAGAATGTACTATATTTATATATACATATATACATACATATGCAAAAAGTAAATGTGTGCTATTTACGTGAACGCCACTGTATTTGAAGGAATATCGCATGTACATTGGTGCACAAAATAATAGGAGTGTGGAATTAGAATTAAAAAATGAATTTTTAAATTATAAGTAGCCAAGACTGGTAAAATAGTCACACTCGTATTATTTTCTAAGCCACTGTATATAATAAAGTATGGAAATTAGCACAAAATGTTTTTACATACATTGGCTTCCAACGTCGACAACTTTTCCCCTATCACCATTTGGTTTGCCAAAATTTGTTTCAGCATTCCCATCATCTCTGAAATGAAAAAAAAAATATATACATATTAAATTGAATTCAGCGGTAAATTTTAAATTACCGTCATTAAATGCTACAGATGCCACTGAACCTGATTCAACCTGAGGTGCTGTTGCTGAACCGCTTATTGGGGTTGACGTGGTTGTCTGCATAGCATTTTCAGCTGAGGTTATGTAGCACTTTTTTTGTATAATAGACTCAAGATCTAAGACAAGAAAAATTTGCAAACATGTGCGTAACTAGAGAAAAGTTGTTTTGCTTACCATTTTGCTCCTGACTCTCTTGAAAAAGGGAACTTTCAAATAGGTTGCTAATGTTAAAACTCATGTAAAATTATATAAATTTATTAATTTTATTGTTTTTTATTACTTCATTTAAACGGAATGTGCGGTATTGTGTGAAAAATCGTGAAACAAATTGTGTAAGAGAGGAATCAAAAGAAATTTTCCAGAGTTAGGGATACAAAAATATTTATAGTCAATGTCTTTAATAGCAACTTCAACTACTTGAGCACTTAAATTACTAGCGAAAACTATTCCCAGACCACTGGCGGAAAGAAGAGGTTCCTCAAAATAATTTTCTATTGTCTGAAAAGCGTTACAATGAATTTTATCTGACTCGGATGACTTTATAATGTTAAAGGCTTTCAAAGGTCCAATTTTTTGACTAAAACAAAAACAGTCTTTTTCTTTAAGAGGATTTATCTGAAATGATCCAATCGAAGTATTGTTAAAATCAGAATTAAGTCCTTGTCTCTCATTGAGCCTTAAATATATTTGCTGTAAAATTTGACTGGGCTTGTTAACCAGTTTTTTAAGGAACTGCATATAGTTTTCGAATCAGTACGCTGAAAAGGAATCTAAAGGGCCAAACTGTTTGACACAATCTGACAAATGAAGCAAGCCGTGGATATTGAAGCTAACTAACTCATCACCATATATGCTTCCGAAATAATTTACGAAATCATTTAAGAGTGATTGGGCAACGTTGGCCTCTGTCTTACACGACTTCTCACTTGATAGGAGTCTTATACCGCTATGCAACAACAAGAAAAGGTAGTATGAGTCATTATTTATGCAATCTTTTAAAAGAAATATTCCTGTGTATAACAAAAATTGCCTAAATTCAGTGGACTTCCAATGATTTATTTCATCAAGGCTTCTAGATACACGACCGAATTCAGATGGAATAAATTGAGCAACATGTTTTATTTTTTGATTTATATTTTTTATATTAGCCTTTTTTAAAAACAGTTTCAGCAATTTTCTAGTGACTCCTAAATCGACTAAATGCATAGAATCTAGAGGAAATTGGGATACCATTCCAAAACCTGCTTCTTCCAAAACGCTCTTTTTTTCTTTAAATTCGGCAACATGGTGAGAGGTATTAGTTCTCAATTCAAAAGTTATATCTGATCTAAGTGGGCCAACTTCTTTCAAAAAACACACCCTTCTGTCTCTATACAATCCTTCCTGACAACATTTGGGGCAACCATTTTTAGCATTATGTGACATAATACCTGTAACATACGCCCTAGCTGGAGAATCGCAAGAAAATAAACGGACATTAAACTTTTTTAAAGCTTGGCTTTGACCAACTTTAACCCCGTTTTCTCTTAAAAACTTCACTTCTGAGCAAAAATCTGCCATAAAACTATTAATGTTTTCCGGCTTTTTAAAACCGGAAAAACAAGCGATCATAAATGGTGGGACATTAGGGAAGTCTGAAAGCGCTCCAAGTATGGGCCACAAAACTCTATTCGAACTCTTAAAGAGTTGTAAGCCATCAACACCCACATCGATTAAGACTTCTTTCATATTTTCAACATCGAATGAGTTCGAAAGAAAATACTTCTGTATACCTATGTATAAAAACTCGCCATTGGGAATATTCCTAACGCTAACCTTTTGCCTGCTTGTATTTAGGAGAGTTTTTGCGGAAAGCGGTAAACCTTCAACTCCTATTCTGCGCAAAGTTTTCAGAAAATCATCTAATGCATTTTGAGATGCATTGTTCCTAATGGCCCATAGCCTAATTTCTTCACTTTTTTGTACAGAGTCAACACTTAAATCATCTAAAGATCCTGAAGTTAAAGGCTCAGTATCAGGTTCAACTAATTCAAAATCTAATTCAGAATTTTCACCAACAGACGGATCACGCAAGGATCCTAATGGTAAAGATTCAGCAACTGCATCACCACCCAAAATTTCGGTGTCACAGTCGATTAAAAAATCAGAACTAGTCGACGCAGACTGTACAGGGTCAGATGTAACGCCTTTCCTGAGGAGAAGTTCACTATTTTCACAATCACTTTTAATATATTTAATTTTATTTTCGAATTCACTTTTTTTTCACACTTCCCACACATTCCGCGAATTCCTTATATTTTTTAACATTGGATTCGAAAATCCTCTTTTCCTTATTTAAGGAGTTTTGAAAAGCCCGTTTTTTCATAGTACACTTATCTTTTATTATTATTTCCTTTTAATATGCCGCTTCTAAATAAATGCTTCTTTTCACCTCTGAGTTTTCACAAAGAATGCGCGTGGGTTCAGAAATTTCGCAGTTCTGCCAAATTTTTGCAGATACAATCATTTGATGGATAATCTGTCGGTCAGTAGTGATAAAGTCAGTAAATCGGTTCTCTCATTCTCGCATATGTAGTTATGAAGTTCGCATAATAACAGCCGAATGTCTCTTTTTGGCAATCACAATGGCAAACAGTCAATGGGTAAACTGTCGGTCAATACTGATAAAGTCAGTAAATCGGTTCTCTCATTCTCGCATGTGTAGT